GAAATCCCTATGGATTTGTCATCTGCGCCTCACTCTAGTTTCCAGTCTCTTTCTGGATCACCCTCAGACAGCATGAGAAGCACACGGGGACCAGAGGGGATCAGGCAGCTTTACTCAGGGAGGGAAAAGCCAGAGTAGTTCTCCCGTAGTGGACTTAGTCTTGGCTCTCTCCTAGTTGTCTTTTGTTTATAAAAACTCCAGGAACTCCGAGCATAGGTTAAATTCAGGACTGTCCAAGTGAGTGTTTGTGATACATAAATACAAAACCACAATGATTTCAGCAGTGAAATTTATATTCTATACTTAATTTTATCTGCTCCTTGGTGCCTTGCAAACACTAATAAGTGTATAAAGTTCTTGAGCAGCATTACATAAATATAAAATGTGATTCATGTATATGTGGCAACCACAAAGACTTATAAATGGGTAGTCTACAGAAAGACTTAAGTTCTTTTACAATTTAAATAAGGATACTTGTACTGTCCCAGCTGATTGTCTCAGTATGTAACTGGAAAACCCAACCTTCCACTCTGTGGTTTCAAATCTAGTACCTTCAGCAAATAGCTTATCAATATTTTAAAGTCATATTTGACTTCCGGTGAGTGGCAGTGAGGTTTTCCTTCCTCTGGAGACCCTTCTATGAGGTGGCCTTCTTTTGGGGGGTGTGCCTGACACCAACTTTTGTCCCCTGGGGGCAGTGCCCAGAGAAGGGATTCCAAGGGAAGTTTTCACACGTGCCTCATCTACCATCCCACTCTGTCCACCCTGCACCCCACGCCCCCCAACTGAAGCATCAATCCTATTTTTTTCTTTTAGATTTTTGTAAGAAGAATGAGGTACATTCCCCTTTTGGTGAAAATTATGTTTGACTCTTGTGCACCTCACCAAACAGAGGTGATTAAGAAAGGCAAATGCCCATCTAATGGGGCATATTCACAGCGGTGCAGGCAGGAGGTTCCACATCCCTGGTCTGATCTGCAGCCTTCAAGACCATTATGGACGCACAGTTAGTATGAATCAGACCTGAGGTCCCCAAAACACCCTGGTCACTTCAGTGCTCTGGGACGGTGGTAGGGCTTGCAGAACCTTAGAGAGGCAGAAAATCTCTCTTCTTTGTGGAAACTCTAATCCTCTCAGGAGAGTTCTCTTTCTGTTGGAAATCCAAGACTTTGCGAGCAAACATGATAAGACGTTCCAAAGTCACTAGGTGAATATAATGAGTGTAGGGCTTAGAATACTTAGGTGGGGTGAAGGGAGGGAGGTGGGAACTGGAATAAGTGTCCCCTTTCATTAGAGTCTCTATAGGTAATGACTTTCCTACTTAACCAAAGAAAAGCAATGGAAGCTGCTTCTCCCTCACCTATTAAAAGGAGAAAGATGGGTATCTTTAATTGAAAGCAAGGCATCACAAAATTCTTTAATTAGAGGCTCAACGGTTCTTTGAGCTCATCTTGTATCTCCTTGGCTTTCAGCAGGACGGCATTAAACCTTCCTAAAGAGATAAGACCCAACCTATTTTTAAACATACTCAACCAAAGAGGGCATTCTGTCTTCTGTTCCTTTGTGAGACTGGGGAATTTTTTTTTCCTTTTCTAACCTCACCACAGGTGAACTTTTCCTATTACTTACCTGAGCCTTCACATTAGAGTTCGGCTTGGTTCGCTCAGTGGAAAATGGTGACCAGCTGGTCACCATTAGCTTTTTCTAAACGGTCCTTCTATATGAAATTATAATAATTAATTAGGATATTTGGGTTTAAATCAATAAAGATGGAGACTGACTCATTCCCTGACAAAAGAATGTGATCTTTCTTTTACTCGTGTCTTGTTCCCAGTGCTGTTTCTCTCTTCCCATCTCTCTTTCAAATCATGGGCATGCACACACATGCGTTACAACATGTGTGCACATTCACACTCTGGTAAATTTAAAAAACACCCTTTAAACAGCTGGTTGACATTTAGACTTTGGCCTTTACTATTCCTAGCAAGGGGTAATAGTTAAGGGCACAGACTCTGAAGCCCACAGTCAGTACTTAAAATTGTGGCTCTGGGACCTTGGGCACATTTTGTAATCTCCTTATATATCTATTTTCTCATCTGTAGAATGGAGGCAATAATAGTATCTACCTTATAGGGTTGTGGAAAGGATTATTGAGTTAATGCATTAGAAGCTTTTAGAATAGTGTCTGGTGCTGTAATTGTAAATGCTATATCATTGTGAATGATTGCTATGCCCTTCTTGAAGCAATGGGACAATTGGAGGCATTAAACTATGCCTGACATTCCAGAAGCCATGAGTTTGAGAAAAAAAAAGGAGTAGGGCTCAAGTTTAAGGATAATGAATAAACAGGGAGTCACAAGGTGAAAGATTTTTAAAAAGACAAAAAGCAAGTAAGAGATAGGAAAAAATACAGGAAAAGAGCAACAGCTGGCATTTATTTCAATGGGGAAAAGCAGAAAAAGAACATGAGGGAAAAGAAAAATAAGAAAGGAAAAAAATGGAGACAGCAATAAAAAGGTGGACCTGAAAAAGAAAGGCAGAAAAGAAAAAGAGGACTGAGAATTAGAAAATTAGAAAAAAAAAAACCATTGAAATTAGAAAAGACTCCATTTATAGCTTGAGCTGGGGTATCAGGAAAAGGAGTGGAAGAGAAAACAAAAATACTGGATATAGAAGCAGGGAAACTTGGGACAAAATTGACGCTGGGGGAGAGGAGATAGAAATGGTAACATTAAAAGTTTCATTTGCAGCAACAGTCCTCTGTATTTTTAAATTATGGGAAATTTTCATTAAAAATTAACACATCCATGATGCACTAAGCTTCTTTATCTTCCCCACTTCAACTTGCTTCAGAGTCTGCCTCAGACTAAGTCCTGAAGGTTTGTCCTGATCAGATGTCTGTCTGCCTTCTGTCTGTCTGCTCTGCCCAACAGGGCCCAGATGCAGCGATCCAGTCTTCGCTGCACTTTCACCAAATACTTAAGGCATCAAGTGAAAATTCAGCTCCGGAGGAAATATTTACACCCTCTTCCTTCTCCAAACATGTATAAGCCTCTAAGGGAAGATGGCATTTTAATTTTTAAGTTATCCTTCTTAAGGGCATTTCCCTTCACCCCCACCATTCAGGTTCTTTTTGGTCAATTTAGAACAAGAAGACAAAAATGATACAGCACTGCAGGGATGCGCCGCTTTTTGGGCTCCAAATTGTCCTCACCAAAAGGAATTCACCATCCGATCCCTAGGAACAAACAAGAAAGGGGCTGGCTGGTGAGGTTTAAAATAAAATCAATATTTTAAAGACACTTTTTCCTTTAAGTATTATTAAATTGTCAGTTTGGTGCAAAGTAAGTCCCCCTATTGGAGGAAGTCAGAGCGGCCTTAAAGGGCCCTGTAAACAGACGAAGTGGATGGACCTCGAGCGTCTCCTCACGCTGGGGTGAGCTTGGGCCGCCGCCGGAGTCAGGAAGCCAGACGCGGCTCGCGTCTCCGCCCGGGACTCAGGAGACTGCGGCAGCTCGCGCTGCTGCGGGGCGGCTCCAGAAGGCCGAGTGAAGACGCGACTCCCGCAGACACGTGACCTCTCAGCCGCCGCTACCAGCGACCCAGATCCGTCCCCGGAACCCGCGCCGCCTGGCGGGGCGGGCGGGTGGGGACACGTAACCACTGCCCCAACCCCTGCTGCGCCCTGGTGCGTGTTCCTTCCGCGTACTTCTCCCCTTGGTTCACGTGCCACTGGCAATAATGACTGTTTCGGGGATCACCCAGGAGAATATAGATCTCACTCGGTGCAGGAAGGAAAGAACTTTGGTTTTACATCTACCCATACACACATCCCTCCCACTCCTGCAGACGCCAGATGCCGCAGCTGGGCCAGAGACTTGGGAGTCCCGCAGGATAGGCTGCCCTTGGCCTCCAAGGCCTTTTGCCGTTGGCTGTGCCGGGTGTCACTGCGTATCTCCGGGCACCTCCCGGTAACTCTAACAGTGAGTCACGTTCCCGGGATGGCTCTGGGGAAAAGGTAGCAAGAGTCCCGGAGGCCCACGCTTCCTTCCTCTCGCTGGTCGCAGCGGCTGCAGTGGGAGCGAGCGCGCCCGCGCGCGCGCTCACGGGTTCCCCGCGCAGTGATGTGGCAGCAGCGGCGGGTCGGATCACGTTGCTGGCCCTGTGCTGGTACCCGTTTCAGACAGGATTAAGGAGAGAGGCTTTGGGGGTGCCAGCGGTAGTAAACGTGGGCTCCGCACACTCCAGGCATCGCTTATCGCACAAGGGGGGTGGTGGGGAGAGGAAGCACGCAGCGCCACCCTGGGCGCTGAGGCGCCGCGGAGTTTACTGGACGAGTGATAATGCTGCATTCTCTGCAGTAGCCCCTCTCGTGTCACCCGCCCTCTTCCCTTCCCTCCCCGCCGCGTTCCTCCGGGAGCACCGGAGGCCCCAAACATCGTCATCTGCTGCTGTGATTAGTGGCACTGCAATTTTGGCTGCTGTGGGAAGTTTGGGTGGCCCAGGGACACTGTCGCCAAAAGACACTTGAATTGCGAAATTATGACCCAATGACTTTTTCATTTAGCTTAAATCTTTCTGGGATAGGATTTCAAGTTGTTCCTCTCCGGGGCAACCTCCTATCAAGGCCGAGACCCAGGCCACACTGAGCGGGATGCAAACAAGTCTCCAAATTTTCCTTCGGGACTGAAGTTTACCCACAGTGAATTCTCTTTCTCTTTTCTTTGATCCAAACCAACAGCACAGTCGGTGGAGAACTCCAAAAGACACATTCACGTTCCTGCACCGTAATGACGGACGGACTGACGGAGTCACATTTCTGAGCCGAGGAAGCCCAGGCTGCCCCGCACCCCCGGCAACCCCCCCCCCCCCCCCCCCAGCTGACTGCATAGTCTTTGGGAAGATGAATAGCTTGGCTGAAGTTGTTTTTCCTTTCCGGTGGCCCTGATCAGGTGTCCCCGCCCCCTCCCGCCGTCGCTCTCCCTCTCAGCCTTCTTCTGTCGCCCCCTCCTGGCCCGATCCCTCCTCCCCCGCCCCCCTCCGGGCTGGACCGCGGATGGTACGTTCCGCACGTGAGCTGGGTGCTGGTCTGGCCGGCGACGCGCGTGCCCTGTGGCCAAACACTGCCCCGAGTGAGAGCAAACTACCAGCGCAGTGGGGCCGGCGCGACTGTGCGTGCGTGTGTGTGCGTCTGTGTGCGAGAGAGCGAGCGCGGTGGGAGAGGGAACGACCAACTGCTTCACACTTTAAACACTGCGCTGAAGAGGGACAGAGAGACTGGAGACGCACAGATCCCCTCAAGATCTCCCAAAGCTACCGTCCCACAGATTATAGGACACAGCCCTCAAAAATTGAAACAGAGGAAAGCGGACAGCGGTTGAACATGGACGAAGGAATTCCTCATTTGCAAGAGAGACAGTTACTGGAACATAGAGATTTTATAGGGTAAGGTGCACGCACCCTTACGAATATCTATCTGGGCTCAGTTTGATTTTTTTTTTTTTTTCTTCTCAAGAAAGTGGTATGGAGCGGGCCAGGGCAGAGCTCCTCCCGAATGGGTGCCTGATGCTGATTTCTGTTTTGCAGACTGGACTATTCCTCATTGTATATGTGTAAACCCAAAAGGAGCATGAAGCGAGACGATAGCAAGGTAAGAGTAAGTTTACGATGTTCCCCATAACCTGCCTGGGTAGTTAATTAGGGTCATTGATTACACAGCGAAGCTCTGCCCGCAAATATATTCCAGCCCTTGAGCTTCCCCGACTGTGAATTTTAAGTGGTTTGCTGGATACTCTCAGGGGGAGATTAAACATCGTACCTGAATTTAAATTGCATTTCAGAATAGTCCAGAGGAAGAAGGTTTCTCGGGCATAGTTTATCACATAGTGTGTGTTTTGGGGGGTTGGGGGATATTGTTATAGCCAGTAAATGAATGTTTATCTTGTTTTCTCTCTTCCATGACTCTCCTATATTAAGGATACCTATAAATTACCGCATAGATTAATAGAAAAGAAAAGAAGAGACCGAATTAATGAATGCATTGCTCAGCTGAAAGATTTACTGCCTGAACATCTGAAGTTGACAGTAAGATGCACATTTTCCTTCTTTGCTGCTCTCCAAGGGCGTATTAATAGCCTGGTGCTACTCCCAGAGATATAAGAATAAATGTAAATATCAGATGCCTTACAACTTGTGATATAGAGTAGACTCTACTGTAGAGTTTCCCACAAACTCAGAAGTAGGTGCTCACAACTGAATCAAAAAATCATTTATAACCTGTCATGTGGAAAGCTTAAGAAGTATAGGAATAGTACTTCTTTCAAAGTGTTTGCTTAAGTTACTGTGCTGAAGAGAGAGCCAATCAAGCCAAATGTATGTTTTTAAGTAACCAAGTGCCCCATTCTCTTTTGCACCAATGCAGACTCTGGGGCATCTGGAGAAAGCGGTAGTCTTGGAATTAACTTTGAAACACTTAAAAGCTTTAACAGCCTTAACTGAGCAGCAGCATCAGAAGATAATTGCTTTACAGAATGGTAAGTCAGTTCAGGGAGGCCAATCCACCCTGATGAAGCTGGGCAGCCCACAGAGGAGCAGTGTTAGGACTTCTTCTCCACCCCCATCTCCTTCCGTGTGCCTACCGGCTCACCCTCACTTGTGAAATTGCTTATACTTTCCCTTCATTGGAAAGTGCCCATTTCCTGAAGCATCCTACAGGCTTTCAGCAGAACTCAGAGGAATTAGACTTTTTTTTTTCAACGTGGCGGTTGCACCCTTTCCACTTTGGTTTTTCAGCTGGGAGTAGAGCGCCCTCCATCCTCTGCCCCCGCCCCCGCGCCCCTTCACCCCCCTGCCCCCCCCCCGCAAATGGTGGATTATCTCTCTCAAATAGGGAGGAAAAACCAAGATCACTTTAGTCAGTGTGGGGCCCACGTGATAAGCAGATGTTTTAACGTCGGGTGTTTTTTCTTCTTGCCTCCATTCCTCTGTCCCCCACACCCCCCCCCATCCTAGGGGAGCGATCTCTGAAATCGCCCATTCAGTCCGACTTGGACGCGTTCCACTCGGGATTTCAAACATGCGCCAAAGAAGTCTTGCAATACCTCTCCCGGTTTGAGAGCTGGACGCCCAGGGAGCCCCGGTGTGTCCAGCTGATCAACCACTTGCATGCGGTGGCCACCCAGTTCTTGCCCACCCCTCAGCTATTGACTCAACAGGTCCCCCAGAGCAAAGGCACCGGCGCGCCCTCGACCCCCGCCGCCTCCAGGGCCACCCCCTGCCTGGAGCGCGCTGGACAAAAACTGGAGCCCCTCGCTCACTGCGTGCCGGTCATCCAGCGGACTCAGCCCAGCGTGGAGCTGGCCGGCGAGAACGACACAGACACCGACAGCGGCTACGGAGGCGAGGCCGAGGCCCGGCCCGACCGCGAGAAGGGCAAAGGCGCGGGGGCGAGCCGCGTCACCATCAAGCAGGAGCCCCCCGGGGAGGACTCGCCGGCGCCCAAGAGGATGAAGCTGGATTCGGGGGGCGGCGCGGCGGCGGCAGCGGCCGCGCTCCTGGGGCCCGACCCTGCGGCCGCGCTGCTGAGACCCGACGCCGCCCTGCTCAGCTCGCTGGTGGCGTTCGGCGGAGGCGGGGGCGCGCCCTTTGCGCAGTCCGCGGCCGCCGCGGCCCCCTTCTGCCTGCCCTTCTACTTCCTGTCGCCTTCCGCGGCCGCCGCCTACATGCAGCCTTTCCTGGACAAGAACAGCCTGGAGAAGTACCTGTACCCCGCGGCGGCCGCCGCCCCGTTCCCACTGCTGTACCCCGGCATCCACGCCCCGGCGGCCGCCGCCGCCGCCGCTGCTGCCGCCGCCGCCGCCGCCGCCTTCCCCTGCCTGTCCTCCGTGCTGTCGCCCCCTCCAGAGAAGGCGGGCGCCGCCGGCGCGACCCTCCGGCCGCACGAGGTGGCGCCCCCTGGAGCGCTGCACGCCCCGCGCCCGCACGGCCGCACCCACCTGCCCTTCGCCGGTCCCCGCGACCGCGGGAACCCGGAGAGCTCTGCTCAGGAAGATCCCTCGCAGCCAGGAAAGGAAACCCCCTGAATCCTTGCGCTCCTTTCTTAGCAGGGACGAGAATTCCCGCGGAATAATAATATTAATAAGTTAAAACACCCTTAACGTTTTTAAGGGAGGAAGTGTAATAGATGCACGCCAGGCTTTAAAAAAAAACAGGTGTTTTGTGTACATTTGGAGTTCCTGTTTTGCTCATCTTTCAACACCCCACCCTCCACACACCAGCTATAAAAGGACTCTGCGCTAGTCTTTTTTTTTTTTTCAAAGAACTCCCCCAAATAATTTTTGCCTTCTTTTAGGGTGTGTTCCATTATCTATTAAAATATAGAAGCTAATTCTCGAGGAAGTAAGAAGGGTATGCTCTGTGGGTGAGCCAGTGGAACCAGGGTGGGGGAGAGGTGGCGGAGCAGTTGACACTGAGCAGCAGAGTTATGTCAGTGACTCAGAGCTGTCCTGCTGCTTCAGGATGCTTTCCGCAAACAGAATGATCTTTCAGAATTGAGTTTACTCTTCAGTATTTTGTAATGTTCAGCTTTTTAAAAAGACATTTTTTCAAAGAGGAAGAGGAGAGAATGCAGTCGCTCACATTGCAACCTATTCTGAAGTGGTTTGAATGATATTCCTTAGTAACTTGCACTTGTTGAAAGAGACTCGGAGTTGGGCCACTGTCAGAACAAAGTCAGGGAACTAGATGAGTGAGGAAGGCCAGAATCATTCTTAGTACATTTGCTGGCACTTTAAGAAATTGACCATGAATCAATTGACTCATCTTAATTATATATATATATACACACATGCGTGCACACACACACAAATATACATATAGAGTATCTATTCCCACCTTGCCATTATTTAATCCATATGTTCCTTAGTTTTTATAATCTTGCTGTAAAAAAAAAAAAGAATGTGCACTGAACTTAAAAAGAAAAAAGTCCAAAATGACTTGGGCTATATTCTGTTCAATCACAGACATAGAGGAAAATATTAAACTAGTCAATTTTGATTGGAAATGCTGTAAAGATTGGACTGAAGCTCCGTGAAGCCTTCCCATCTCCAAGTTTGTGTATTTTCTGGAGACCAAACCAGATACCAGATAATCACAAAGAAAGCTTTTTTAATAAGGCTTAAACCAAGACCTTGTCTAGATATTTTTAGTTTGTTGCCAAGGTAGCACTGTGAGAAATCTCACTTGAATGTTATGTAAGGGGTGAGACACAACAGTCTATGAGTGAAGAAAAGATCTGGGTCTTCTAGTCAGTTTGGTGCATTTGCTGCTGCTGTTGCTCCTGTTTGCCTCAAACGCTGTGTTTAAACAACGTTAAACTCTTAGCCTACAAGGTGGCTCTTTATGTACATAGTTGTTAATACATCCAATTAATGATGTCTGACATGCTATTTTTGTAGGGAGAAAATATGTGCTAATGATATTTTGAGTTAAAATATCTTTTGGGGAGGATTTGCTGAAAAGTTGCACTTTTGTTACGATGCTTATGCTTGGTACAAGCTTATGCTGTCTTAAATTATTTTAAAAAATAAATACTGTCTGCAAGAAACCAGCTGGTTTAGAAAAGTTTAGTTTGCGAAGATAAACTAGAAGATATCTTTATATTCTAGTATTTTCAGCACACCATAAATTCTATTACCTAAATATTGCCACACTATTTTGTGATCTTAAAATTCTTACCAAGGAATAAAAACTTTAATACACAATATGAGATTGTCTAATAATTAAAAAGACATGATGGATGTTCAGTTAATTTTAAAAGGTCTATGAATATAGGGATAAAAGTCATTTGGGTTCTCGGATATACAACTTGGTCATTGGCTTATCACACATTTCCGCTCTTTTACAAGCCAACAGGCTCTGGCTGTGTCTACCTGCTTGTTCTCAAAGTACCTTAATGAAAAGTGCAAAAGAAAAGAACAACCAATCATTTGAGCGGTTTGTTTATGTTAGACCCAATTCCCTAATGTTTTTATGATTGATGAATTTTGTTCACTTTTCATCCTTGATACCAGATAGCCTCTGTTGTAAGATTTAGTGCATTTCTCTTTTACTGGGCCCAGTATAAATGTGCTACCACTCAGGGGGAGCTAAGTTTCTCAGTATATTTTAGCTCCTAAACCTTTACAAAATAATTCTCTTGTGGGACTTCATCATGGAATTCAAAGAACAGATGATTGTAGACTTACCAAATTTATAATGAAATTTGTGATTTGACACAAACTGTGTGAAGGAATGTCAATTTTTAGATCGATAATGTTCTTCACACCCCCGCCCCCCAGTTTTGAAGGATGTTGAAATGATAGCCAACATTTGTAAGATATAATAGAAAAAGTGCTCCCTCTGCTGTTTTTATGGGAACAGAACTGCCAGTAATAGAAAGTGGAACCAGAAGGAATCTCAGAGATTGGCTCGTCCAGTCCCCTGCATTTTGTAATAGGAGGGAAATGAAGCCCAGGGCTATCCAATGTCTCCCGTCGGTCACACCTACCTGGAACCAGCATCAGACGCTCGGTGGATTGTACCCCCAGGCCGAGAGACACTCCCAACTGCTGCATGCACCTGGAACCAAGTAAATTGAGCGTGGGCAGTGCTCCTGAAATGTCATGAATAGACCACAGGAACAAAGGAAATAAAAATTAACATTAGAAATTAGAGGATAGTAAAATGTCCTAGCATTTGTATAATTTTGGCACAGTGAAAAAATTTAGGGTTGGACCAGGTTTTATAGGGTATTTTAATCCAAATGCCTATATACTGACATGGTAGTAATATAAAATTAGGACAGAATCACAAAATAATACTGTACCTGAAAAGTTTTGTTTGGGTCATTGATTTATTTTAATAAAAGACTGGAATCACAAGTTGCTAAGGAGGGTTCTATCTATACCTACAGTGGTGAAATTTGAGCCAAGAGTTTTTGTAGTACATATGATTTTCCAATTTAAGACACACCAATCTTCAGTCAACAATGCTTTTTTAAATACAGTATTTTACCAGTCAATTTTACATACATTTCTCAGCAAACTTTATATTGAATTGATTTGATAAGTGGCCTTTTTCCTCAGAAGAGCTAAGCATATTTTTAAGGCACTAGGAACTACAATTTAATAGCTCTTTCAAGTATAACTGGAGTTTTAATTCCTGTCATCATGAAAACTGTTTTTCACTTAGTTCTCTATTGCTGACAATACAGGCCATAGCTTTGGTTACGGCCCATCATCTGAGATTTGTTCAAATGTAAGTAAAAGAAGCTCCAGCCTGTTTCTATGTCACAGGTCATTCTGAACTTCTCCGCGGGAGGTGATTGGCACTGGGGATTCTAGGAAGGCGTGGCTGGGCAACCAGACTGAGGCCTCTTACTCTGGATCGAATTGAACAGAGCCCTCATGAATGAAGTAAGACTGTTACAATGCCAAAAGCTGGGTGTAGTACTGTGATAATAGTACTTTGCTTCAGATAGTAATCTGATGTGCTTCATCACACAAAAAATCCGTTGACCTCTCAGGTCAATATATTTAGGTCCACCCATTGTTCTGTGTTGTTTTAATTAAGTTCAAAATGGACAAACAATGCGTGCTAAAGTCCAATAAGGATTCCAGTTTTTCACAGAATTTAATAGGGGCTTGTCATGGAAAATTACCACGTATGTTCTGATTAAGATAGGATTTATCCCCCAAAATGTGCAGCATGTACTAGAAAAATTTGCTCCTAGAAAGGAATTGGACATTTGTCTTAAAATTGGGTTTCTTTAACTTGTTCAGTGGATCCACACTGAAAACTCCAAGCAAATGTAAAACTGTACTTTTTAAAAAGTTGATCTTTAAAATTTCTCATTTTCGTGATGTTTAATTTATCTGGCCTCAGGGAATGATTTATGCCCCGTGAAGCACTGGTTCAGAACACTGAGCTTTCTATGTTCAAGTGCCAACATTGTTTATCTTTATTTTTTTTATTTTAGTGGAAAGCCTATTGAAATAGGTTACACATGTCCTCTAAGACATGTGACACACCTCAGGAAAAAAATACCCTATGCATAATTAACCTTTCTCAGTAATTCAGAGTCATCATCATAACCATGACTTTTGTACTACGCGTGTCACCTGGGAATATTGACACCTGCACTAACTTCTTTTTGAGCTCTCCTATCTGCTTTTTATAGGTTTTTTAGTCTTTACTCATGGTCAGGCTGACAGCCGTCACTTCCTGATGTGTCAGAGTCTGCCTCTAACTCTTACCTAATTTGCCACTTACCTCTGACTTACTGTGGCCTAAGAAGCCGTTTAACCAAAACTATACCCATATAAAATGTGCCTACAGTTAGAATACATAGGCTCTAACAGAGCACCTGTTGGGCACGTCTCTGAATTGTGTGAGCTTGTAGATTCAGCGACATGTTTCTCCTCCCAGCCTTTTTCCCTTCGTTTCTTTTAACATGTTCTTAGCAATGTTCTGTAGCAAAACACTATGCAAAAGCACTCAAATACTTTATATATGTTTGATCATTTTATTACATAAAAAGGCAGCTTGCTCATGGTTTATTACACAACTAACCACAAAATAAATTTCTATTCCAGAAACAAATTATTTGATTTGATGAACACTTCTTTCGGGTTGATAGGAATCATGGACCAAGAGTCATTAATGATATTCAGCCCTTTGATTCATGGAGGACCCTGGCCCTTGCTTTGGTTGCAATCTCCACCTTTGGGTTTTGGACATTTTGATTGGCAGGTCCAGCCACAGGATTCTGGAAAACTGGCAGGGAGGATATGTAGCCCCAGATGCCGCCTCTGAATTTAGACACATTCACTGGCAAGCCTCTGGCGAGAGGTTTCAGACTCCCCTCGACTGCAACACACTCCTCTCCTTGAGTTTATAAATTCAATAAATAGTGGGTATGGTATACAGATATTTGTTTGGGTCCTACTATAAGAGTTCTGCTGGTCCTGGCTGGTGTAGCTCAGTGGATTGAGCGCAGGCCTGCAAACCAGACAATCGCGGTTCAATTCCCAGCCAGGGCACATGCCTGGGTTGCAGGCCAGTTCCCAGCAGGGGATGCACGAAAGGCAACCTACACTGATGTTTCTCTCCCTCTCTCCTTCCCTTCCCGTCTAAAGATAAATAAATAAAATCTTTAAAAAAAAGTTTTGCTGTGGTAAGAGTTGAAGAATCAAAGATAAATAATCTTGGACAATCTCAATGTCTAATGGAGGCTGACAGACCCACACTAAAATGGATTATAGAGAAAAACGCTAAGTGCTTATGCAGGGGTAAATACGGTGGGAGTGAGGGGTGCTGACCTCATCTGGGTGGATCAGACAAGGCCTTGAGAAGTAACTGGGTTCCACAGAATAAATAGGTGAGTGAATCTGTGGGGCTCTTTCCAAGGAGAAGGCTCTGGCATGCTCTGCCCCTTTGCTGAGAAACAGGACAGTTTAATGGATTATATTTGACTTGAGTTCTAAGCAAGGATTATTTAACTTTTCAGTCTTCAGAACTTAACTGTCATACTGGCTCTCACCATCATCTCCTGAGGATCTATCTGAACCATAAACTGAAACTAAGAGGTCATGTTATTTCCTACTGCAAAGAATATAGCTTTCATAGAGAGATAATATCTAATGCAGTAGGGGGAGAAAAACAAAACCCAGTATCTCAAAGGCCACTCTACCTTGCCTCATCTCCCTGTCTGCCTTACAAAAGGAACTAAGGGTGACTTTCCTTCTACAAGGGGAAAAACGTGATGATCCACGCTCTACACTCACTACCCAAAGCAAAGGTGGGGGTGAGGGGAGAGAGAGCAAGCACAAGAGCAAGAGATCCTAGAACTGGAGAAAGAAGGAATCCGAAGGTCTGTTTTTCAAAGCCTATTGGAAGAAGCTGGGGCAAGCAACTAGCTGAAGGTCACAAAGCTCAACAAGTAGCAGAACCAGGACCAGAAACAGATTTTTGGGTTCTGAGTCCACTGCTCTTTATACTATTACCCCACAGTAGTAGTCATGAGGAGGAGACAGGCTGAGGTTTTCTCATGGAATGAGTTCAGCTAGCCCATGAGAGGTCCTAAGAGGCAAAGTATACTTTGTTGGTGGAGGAGGAAAGATTATCAAGGTAATTGCCTTTCTAAATGATGGCTTAGAAGAAGGGCCTCCAACCTCCAGGAGGAAGACAGGTACTAATCAGGGCCTGTTAGGAAGCTGGCCGCACAGCAGGAGGTGAGCTTGAATGTAATGTGCTTGAATCATCCTGAAACCATACCCCCCCCCCCCCATGGAAAAATCGTCTTCCAAGAAACTGGTCCCTGGTGCCAGAAAGGGTGGAGACTGCTGGCTTAGAACATGCAATAACAATGACAGAAATTCTAGAGAAATAATTTCTAAGGCCCCCTACAAAGAACTGTACAATTGTCCTTTTCCTCAATTTGGAGACATTCAGAAATGTGCCTTTCTTGGTTTCCAAGTCTCCACAAGATATGGGGAGCTGTCCACTTCTGTCTCTAGCCCTCCCACCTATGTTCCTGTGGAACTCGAAAGGTTTGCCACGAAAGAAGAGTTCAAAGCAAGTTATGAAGCTGGACGGAGGGGCTCTTTAGAAATGAAGAAGTAGGAAAGAGGGCGACTTGTTACAGCTTTTAGATGGAATATTTTTAGGGTGTTGTAAATTTAGCCACAGTTCATTTTGAAGCCTTTTACATAGGGGTATGCACGTGTGTATACATAGAATATCAGAACTTCACAACGGAAATATTGAGTATCTGCAGCCTCTTTAATAAACTTTGCTTCCATATTGCAGCTTTACAAGTTCCACACTATGTTTTGAAAATTAGTTTTAATAGGGAAAGTTCAGCCTGGATCCAATTCCTAAAGATCTGCTACACAGAGTAATAAGAAAAGTCTATAAAATGACATTTTAAAGACGCCGACTTCTGTTTCTATGATCCCTTAAGTAGGGCTTGGTTTTTAAGTATATCGTTTTGAACAGGCTCATGTGCAAAGCTAGAACTTAGCCGTGTGATCCGCGTATGACCAAACAGGTGAAGAAATATGACAATATGCCAGCACCCCTTGACAGATCTGCAGACACAAGTGGGCGTGATACAGGCTCTATTTCTGAGCAATGTGTATGAAACCTATTCAGTTAAAAACTGGCAAACCACCTCTAGCTCCTTAAATCGCACTTCCACCACACTGCGTGGAAGAATTAAAGCAGAGGGGAATAATGTGATCAGCTTTGAGATCTTCAAGGAGCTCTAGGATTGGAAAGAGAGAAGCATTCTTAGGTTGCCTAGTGATAAATTAACCCATGATCTCATTCTCAGGGAGGCTTACTCCCCCTACTGTCCCTTCCCCTCTGGGCTTTCCTTCCTCCCTCCCCCCCCCACCTCCCCCTCCCACCGTGGAGTTCAAAGTACAGCCGCGTCGGATGAAGGAGCCAGAACCGGACGCGGCGCCGTCACGTGCGCCCGCACACGCCTGGGCGCACGCTACGCTGCACGTGAGAGGGGGCGGGGCGGGGGCGAGGTGGTGCCGGCTACTGGCCTAACGCGCGTGCGCGCTGGCCCCCGCACCCGCCTGGCGCGGGCTTAGAGGTGGGGTGGCGGGGGAGGGAGAGGGATGGAGGAAGGGAGGAGCGGGGCGCAGGGAGGCAGGGCAACCTAGTAGAAGGTGGGCGAGCTGAGGTCGGGGTGGCCAGACGTGCGGGCGGAGGCGAGGACGCGTCCTCTGGACAGCTGCGCCACACCCTGCCTCTGTGTCTTAGCGGGCCAGCCCTAGATAGTCATTCGTCCCGAATTAAAGCTGGCTCTGATTGGGACTCCTCGAGCCAGTCTGACACAGCAGTTTCTGAGCAGCCCTCTGGGGCGCGGGTTAGAGGAAGGTCGACAGCTGTCCGGGGCGGGCCGTGGGGCGGGGACTCCTTCCAGCCGGGCCAGCCTTGGCTTGGGGAAGTGACAGTCCGGGAGGGGGGTGCAGGCTGTGACACACCCGCGGCGCTAGGAC